GTGCAATAAACTTAGAACGCGCTCATTCTTCGCGACAACAGAGAGAAGTTTCGAAGACAGAAGCTGGAGAATTCGCGCTTTTCGAGCGTATGCGGGAAGTAAGGGTATCGACCCAGCTTTTTGAGCGCACACTAGGGTCTTGAACATGCGCTTGCAACGATCGACATGGATCGACACCTATACTTCCTAGTCGTACGCCAAGACGCTGACGTCATGTATGAACGCTCTCTAACGTAGGCCAAAACTTACTTTGGCTACGTGAAAATTTTGCGCTTTGGACACAGTTTGGGGGAATCGGAGGCAAGCGATTAGACGGGAGTGATTGACTTGACCCATTAGCAAATCGCGAACCACGCATTCATGAAAAACTCATATTCTCCACGTTCGCGAAGAATGAACACTGTCTTAACATAGAGTATAAGAAAGTTGCGTGGTTGGAGGGTGTGGGGTGATCAAGTGTTTTTTGCTCGAGAATTTTTGCGGCAGTGTTTGGCACTCGCTCCCCCTCCTTCGAACTCCGGGCCGTGGTTACCCTGTTGATAGGCTCAAACTTTGTTCCTGCGGTAGGCTGACCTCTTGGGCACCACTGTCTTTGACGCTATTTGACGAAATTGTCCGCCGTTCGCGCAACAACAGTCTCAACCACATACCAATTCTGGCGCTGAATTTCATATTGGACGCCTTCGTAAGTGCAATACTAACGTTTAGGGGGTTCAAAGTATCCACTGGGACAACAATTTCCAGCAAATTCTTGGTTCTGAGGAGATTTGGCGAAAAAATTCGTTGCGCGAACACTGAGCGGCATGGAACCAAGCTCCTGTGGTAAAACTAACTCAGGGGGTCGAACTATTTTACGGGACCTGAGCCAAATTCTTGTGAAGTGCACTCCCACGCTGGCGAAAATTTCGGTCAAAATCTTGCCTGAATTCTGGAAGATCAAGGCAGTAAAAAGTTAATTTTTCCTATCATTCAAAACCGTCTGAAGATTGTAGCTGCTTCACTTTTTCTAGCACACGGTGATTTCCTGCAGTTTTTCTTAAGCGATTTGTTATAGAATATGCGTATGATCTCAAAGTACTACACTCAGATCACATTCGATCGTTTAGCGGAATTACTCGATTTCCCACTTACTGTATGTTTTTGCTTACATTTTCGGCGTTGTTTCGGCTTGAAAGGGGCATTTCACTCTTTTTCCAGTTCCCTTTACTGAATCTTTTCACCTGACAGGTCAGCAGGGTGAGACGTGTAAATTCTTGTAAAGCTGCGACTTGCCACAAGTGGACCGCTTTGGTGGAAGAATTGTTGTACAGGCTTCGCTGAGTACCATTTGGTGACCCCACCAAGCCGAAGGGCGCACATTTTTTTTCTAAAGCAGTATATTCTGATTTTTTACTGTATACGCAGTGTGCTTTATCTCAGGACATGGAGTCATTTTTGTGCAACTTAATCGTAACTGGTGCAATTAGTGATGCCAAGATTCACCGCCCATCGAGGGTTGTGAATCTACGAGCTCGTAAAGCTAATCTAGAGCAACTTGACCAATGGGCAAGCAATGTGCAGAAGCTCACTGAGACTTTGAACAAGGTGGGTGTGGTTTCTGGTGGTTTTGTTTTATTTTTCAGTGTAAAAGCTCAGCTCATTCCTCAGTTATTTCTCAAGATTCCTTATGAGGAAGTTCTTAGTACTGGTTTGTCGGCCCTCTGAGTGCGCTGGGTGCAGGCGAACCCAAATAGTTATTACTGTCGTTTGCCGTTATCACTTGAAATGATTCTGTCAAGGTGTCGTCATGGTTTGCAGAGGCCAAGTGATGGCGAGAGGTTAATAGCCAATGATATCGCTCAAATGTGGCGACACCTCTGTCGGGTGGTTCTATTTTGAGCCCGAATAACAGGTCTGAGATAATATCAGTGATAGCGGAAGAGCTGAGGAGCTTGAGAAATGGTGTTATCCCGGAACTGGCTGTGGGAAGTGTGAGTGAGATGATTTGGTAGTAGTTTGAGGCTGCGATCATACTTTGCGGCAACCGGCATTTGCAACAACACCGCACTACTACTCAATACAGTACATTGAATTGCTTAACTCTATGCTTTAGCAGTTTTACGGTGCGGTTGCATACGCCCCAATTTCACAACGCCTAATCCAGGTGTCTGCTCCCTCCTACTCCCCTATACCCTCCTTTCACGAAGAGAGCTTCACGAAAGGTGTCTTCAAAGGCTCGGTCCGCGTTCAAAAATGTTTGTCAAAATGTTATGTTGTGCGGTTCATATACAAACGAACTTTCCTTATCACCTCACCCTCGCTACTTGAGATGAAGGGAGTAGCGAAACAACCATAGCTTTAGGACTGAAAGTTGGGCGTAGTGATAGCAAGTGGATGGACTAATGGCTTCGTCGCGAAAAGGCGCTTTCCTCACGCATAGTCGAGCTGTGAAAGTGGTATCCTCCTTATTTGCGAACACGACTACCTGTCCCAAGAAGGCGCTTGCGCAAAAAACGAACGACTGGAGTGCCTTTAAATCCCACACTGGAGTCCTTTGCTGCTTAGTTTAAAAACTGCGCGTGGCTCATACTTACTATCGTAATTTTTTGCGACCCTGCATGTGTTTACCCAGAATTTCTCTTGGATGTTTTCTGATTTGGCGGCCAGTAGTAGTTGTAGTTTTACCAGTATTGGACTTGTTCTTTCCAAGATAATCACAAGGACCAATGGTGTTCAGTGTGCTAGTACTGGTTATTATTAAGAAGGCGGAGTCCTCAGGGGCGGAGTCAAGTGTACTATATAGCTAGACTTCTGTTTGTACTTTAAATTTTGTTCGAAGTGGCTCTTCTCGGAAATTGTGCTCAAAGAGTCCTTCGCTTACATTTCCTACGCACCACCACTATATTATTAAGAAGGCGGAGTCTTCTTAATATTATATGCGGTGCGTGTAGGAACTGTAACACACATGTGAGCTCCTCACAGGCGCGAGTCAAGCCTAAAAGGCCCTACTGCTTAGCCTTAAAAAGCCCTTCCTGGTTTACAAATCTCACTCTGGTAAAACTTGTGAACTCTTGTGAAGCTGAAGTAAGATCGTCTAGCCACTATCCTAAAACGTGTCAACTCGAGAAACGGCTGCCTAGATGGGTCGACACATCTATGGAAAGCAAAATGCCCCCCCCCCCCGTCGACAAAAACTGCGCCGACAGGTTCTACCATGGTGGTTCGACGAGCTTGCTCCAGCTACACAGGAGTTCACAGGTCTCACTAGAAAGGGGCTTGTAAATCCCCCCCCCCATCGCCGATCTGCGCTCTGGTATTTTTTTGGTTTTTTTTTGCGTGTCCCAGAATGGTGTGAGAGTTCGGTAGCGGGTGTAGGCTTTGAAAAATTGCTTCTTCTTATCTTTTGGCCTATAATGTACGTTAATGACTGCTAAATGAGGTGTGATGCATTTTTGTGTTTATCAGTAGCAGTCTTCTGAAGTTTATGATCGCATTTAATGGTTGGGCCGCTCAAGGATCACGAAAATGATTGATTAGTTCCCCTGGTTATAAATTGCTACCTTTTTATAGCTTTAGATTGCTACCTTTTTATAGCTTTGTTTAGTGAATGCTAGTTCAGTTTCTTTTTAGTTTCTAATTTTCCATCGTTCAGGTGTCCCATTTGATCCTGAAAGAACAGATGGTCCATCGAAATTTGGAAGCAATGCAGATCAATTAATGCCCTCGTATAGCGCCGCATCTCTCTTAAAAACGGTTCAATGATCAATTTTTGTGTTTGCTCTACTGAGGGATCCTCAGTCTTGATAAAAGGCGCATGTAATTAAATAAATACGGTAATTATTAAGTTCCTTTTTCGCGTGAATGAATATTTATAGTCGAGATGTTGGTCTTCTGGTATGTGCTGGCTGGGCGGTAGGCCACTTAGTGGCGCTGAACGCTGGGATATCCAATGCGTCGAGTCGTACTTGTTCGTCGCTCAGAGAGGGGGGGTTGTACATCTGGCTGACGGCGCTCCAGGAGTACCATGCAACTACTTTCGACAATTGCTTCAATGGTTGTTGGTTGGAAACCTCTCCCCTCCCTCCCCACTTCCATCCTGCCGCTAGGAGAAACGGGAAAAATTTTGCCCAGCGACAGGAAGTACCACGGAGATAACGACCGCTTGCTAGGTCAAACCTGGAAGTGAGTTCGAGTTGAAACTGTTTTGAGTTACGGGACCTGGAACACATGTACTGGCTACCACAGCTAGAAAAGCCGAAGAGCTCGGGCAAACTGGAGGCGGTGTGGGCCTTCCACGTTTAGGATGCACCAAAGGATCTGCCCCCACTAGGGTTTGCAATGAGTTTTTGAATGAAAATTGGCTTCACAATTACAGTGACTGACAGGCCCGGTGCTCCAATCCTCGCAGGCTATGACCAGTCCGTATCCCGGAAGTGGCAAGGGCGTGGCCGCGCACTTCATTTGAACGTGGCGCAGGATACGTTTTTTGTATAATACTTCCATGTGGGATTACTATGAACCAGTCTGCTGGACCAAGGTGTGACTTCAAATGTCCCAGAACGGAATTCTCACTCCCCACCGGAAGTGCAGCTTCGCCACGTTCAAGTGAAGTGCGCGGACACGCCCCTGCATCTCCGGGATATGGAGTGGGACTGCTTGATTTCATATGACAGCTCTGTTTTAGCAAGTTTTTTGTAACGCGTCAGCTTGAGATCTTTACTCATCGAATTTTTAGGGGGGGGGGACTCAAAAGAGTTGTTGAGATAAGGTCACCAGGGCGGTATGCGCCATGAACTCGATTGAAACTCAGGCTCGCGGACACATTTGAATGAGTAATTTGTTGAACATGTCTGAGGCGGCGTTACTCTTTTCAGGTACAATCTACTGCTAACCCGCGAACCACGTGGTAAGCGTGGCCCACACAGCTATGTGGGTCGAAATGAAGGCAATCATCCCATACAGGGTAGGTCGTGCACTGGGGATTCCCACAGGTGGGTGGGGAATCTTGTTTGATCGCTGGAGGGGAGAGAGTCGTCTTGAGCCTGGTAAAGCACTTTTGACTGCAG